AGTAAATCTAAATCCCCTAAAGTGACAAAAAGCTAACTGAAACTAATAATCTCAAAACGTTTGATAAAACCTATTGTTAAAACTAATATTCAAATACAATGACAACCATTATTTGTGTGTTTTTATTACTTAATCTAATTTCCTCTATCTGGCATCCTTCCTATCTAGAAGCGAATTCAAATAACACAACGTAGGTACCTTTCCGACTATAGTCTATAGACTAGATGATCACACCGTTTTTGGCCACACTTGACAACATTTCGAAGTTGTTGAGGTTATGTTTGAATTCGCGAGATTCTTAAAATCTCCTTGGGTTACTGCCGTTTGCATGAGTATGGGGTACCCCCACCCCGTGCCCATCACAAAATCAAAGACCATTTCTTTTAACGAACGAAAATCGCTGAGCTCATAAATATCATTCTTCGGGGGCATGTATACCAACATAATAAATAAAATTTTATGACAGCCGGACCCTCCGAAGCCGCGGAATTTAACAATTCCCGTTATTTTCTGAACACACCTCGTATACACGCCAAACCAAGTAGCATTTTAGAGGATAAAACGTATCGGCCACTTATAACTTGGAACTGTAAAGTTTATTGCCAAAATCTCTGTGAAGTGGTAAAAACGGTTCTATTACGTAAAAGTGACTAAACACTTTTTTAGTGTTAGTAAAGCTCCAATAACGTTCTTGGATTGTATATAGACACGTTTATACCACGTTGTAATTACGTTACTATAACGTGAAGGTATGTACCTATAGTGGCCAAAACTTAAGCGAAAATTTTCTATTCTTTACTTTCTAATCTCGTCCCTTTGCAGCATATAATTTATCTCATTATCTTAGCTTTCTTTGAAACTGGACATTAAACTGACACTGAATACTAAAATTATTATATTGTAAAATACAAATTACAAGTAATAACTAGCATTTAAATAATCTAAGGACATAAAATTAACACAAATAAAATTTAACTGTCAAAGAATATAAGAATCTGTAAACTTGGCGGATCTAAAAATATTTTTCCAGACGCCTCAAATAATTTCTTTATTATTTCTGGTCACTTGAAACCAATAACTATGTATTAACGTGTTAAATTTGGTGAGGTACCTACCAACCAGAAATATAAACTACACAATGACAACTATTTGTTAACATGTCCGCTTTTGAAGAAGGGAACTTTAAAGGGGTAATCCTATGCGAAAGGTGGACCACTTTACTACTACTACCACTTCCAAGTAATACTTAAGTGATGTGGTTTGGTTGCCGTTACTATTCATAATCCCCATTAAAGTTTATACAACTCTAAGGTCGGGGCCGCACCAAGTGTTTTTGCCGCCGGGTTCAATTAAAAGCTTGCCGCCCCTTAAAGGAAAAAAAAATCTTAAAAGCCCTATTTTAACTTAATAAAATTATTATGTATGTGTTAGTGGTTTTTCGGAATCTGCTCCGTGTTGTCGGTTTTTGGTTCTTAAAAGAACCGTATGTCTGACGACGTTTCGGTACAATCTCATGTAACATCTTCAGGTCTTATCTGCTGGGCTGCTGTTGCTGCTCTGCTGCGAGTTAGACGTGTAACGTGTAACATTACAAAATAGTTTACTAGAACTACCCCTAAAAGCTACGTTTTGCTTAGCTAAAAATTTAACAACCGATATAATTCTTTCTAAAACAGAACACCATCTTTTCTGTTCACTGTTAATTAGTTTTTCCTGTAAATAATCTATTGTTGAGCCACACTTTAATGAAGTTTGTAATTGAATCATTTTGTTGCAACATTTAATACGACCATTAGAACTTTCATGTCGGCTTAAGGTTCGCGATAAATGTTGCCAATCTCGAAATCCATCTAGCCCCAAAGAACTAGATGCATTCCCAAATAACTTACATGGGAAACAAAACACAGAGTATATTTTTTAGAATATCCAAGTGCGTTGAACGGATTCACCATTTGGTAAAGTTTTAAAAAAATATTTATTTCAATAACTTTGAGATAAGTTGTTTTCTTATTTACCCTTTTCTACTAGCATTAACCTTATTTTGTCAGATAAAGTTGTAGAGACCATGCACTTGGATCAAAATCAATTACAATATTAAAAAGTTTACCGTCACTTTCAACAAATATTTTCTAAAATGCCGCCCCTCGATAGTTGCCGCCCGGGTGCAGTGCACCCTTTGCACCCTGGGTTGGCCAATTTTGGAAAAACGCCGTTCTCTCTTAAAATGAATTAGTCAAAAATAACTAATTATAAGTCATATTTAACTAATTCTCATAGCGAAAAAGCAGTCATAATAATAAGTCAAATTCTACTGAATGAAATAGTCAAATTAGTAGATTTAAATTTAAAAAAAGTTTTGACCCAGCCAGGGTTTGAACTCAGGTATGTCACTTGTCAAGCTGTTGTCATAACCACGGTCTTATATACAGGTCTTGCAACTTTAAGCTTCGAGGTGGCTTCCTTAACGTGCCAAGCCGCTAGGTGGCGCTAAGATCGAAGGGTGAAGTCAATTAAATGAACTACTTAGTTAAATGTGGAACTACTGCATAACCATAACCTAACTTTTTAAATTCTTTTTCTATGTTTTGTTTACATTTTCAAAAATTTAATATTTGTGAGTTTGTTTCGGATAATTTACGTTAACAAAATAGGACAACAAAGTCTATACTCTATGCACAAAGTCCTCGGCCGTCACATGGCCAGACCAAACATGTAAGTAAAACATGTTAATGTATAAAATACATACGTATATCATATATATGTTACGGCTAATGTGTAAACATGGATAGTTTATAAAGTAGCTGGGTAGTTTATAAACTAGCCAAACTGTCAGCTATTTTAATCTATTTTATTCTAATTAATAAGTAAAAACTCCCTGTAACAAAATACACAAGCTTGTTTATAAAAATGTAGGTTATGTTTCTTAACACAGAACATAAGTAGGTAGTTCATTTGACCTTTTATCCCATAGACTTTAAGGACTTAGAGCCGGTTTTACAATCGTTAGCTTATTTGGCGGATATCTTTCATAGAAACCTTCTATCTAAGAAAATTATCCACCAGAGAGCTTATCTAACGATTGTAAAACCCAAAGATAAAGAAGGTAAAAACGACCTTTAAACATCTATGGTTCACCCACAACTCGATGCGCCATCTGGTGGGTGTCTCATTAGAGAGGTTACTTTTCCTATTGAAATTGGGCGAAGTTGCAAGACCTGTATATAAGACCGTGGTCATAACCCATTCAGCCATCAGCCGCTCTTATAAAAATTAATTTTATTTGTCAATAACCCTTTATAGGGCAGAATCCATTAATTGTTATTTTTATTTTTTTTTGGTAAGACCTACCTATTTTTGATGTCTTAAGTTATTTTAATAATTATTTTGAAAATCCAACTGTTTTTTTTTAATTTATCATGGTGGATAAAATGAAAACCACTGCCCATAAGATGATAGATGGGCGGTGGTCTAAATGCAAACCACATATTTAATTTAATCGTTTTTTTTTTGCGTTTCTGAAAGGATTTCTGTGATGCATATTTTTATTTTTATTTTCACTGGTCAATTTTCAAAAATGACCTAGTACTGGTAGTTTTCTCTGAATCTGATGAGTAATCGCGATACTGAGTCATCTGAAAGAACATCTGCATCAGAGTCACTTTCACCCCCAAATCTATTCAAAATTTGTTTTCTGAAATGTATACTGGATGTTCGCTCACTACGATTACGTAGGCTGGATCGTGCTGAAGTATTGACAGAAGTTACTTGTAAACATGAAGATGTACTTGGTGAATTCAGACGAAAAGTACTTGGGGACTCTTGATGGGCTATCGCCCTCAATCCCAGAATCCATAGCCTGATCTTCGGTTATACCAACAACTAGATAAAATAGTTTACTTGAATCCAATTTTTCAAAAAACCAAAAAATACTGGACATGGATTCAATAGTCTCACGGTATGTGAGCTTGATAGAGGTTATGTTCCGTTAGCGCTAACCTATTTTCCAAGTACTATTATCACAAGTTGTAAAGCATTCAATTACCTTTTGAATTATGTGTGTTGTCAGGTAAAACAAACATGCTTATGCTCGCTAGCAGCAACAATTACTGCAAATGTTACTTTTTCGCAATTTTGTGGGAACAGGCAATGGTAAACATAGAGACCACATTGGTTCTAACAGGTGCCAAATTTAAATTGTGGCCAATATGATACCCACTGCACATTATGAGTTCATTTATTTGTACTTTGGTCGAAGTTTGGGTTCTCTCTCATTTCTAAATAAGCTGTGGTTAACATAGAGACCATTAACCTATAAAGGGATAAATATTGTTTATAATTTTCATTAGGTTTTGGTAATCCATTTTTAGCAAGGTTTATGGAATGTTTAATTTTTAAAAATAATGTATACTTCCTTGCTTCCTTGCAAGGAAGTATACATTATTTTTAAAAATTAAACATTGTTCATAATATTTTAAAGTTGAATATATTATTTGTGTTGCTGTTTTGACCTAAACTTTTTGCATCTTTATTCGTTTTTATGGGTCATTTAACCATGGAGCCTAGGTATATGCATTTAATTCAAATAATACTTTGTTGTTGGCCGCAAACGATTAAAGAAATAAGTTACTTTTAACTGTCAAAAATAGTCAAAGATGGTGAATAATCTTTAATTAGTCAAACTTTAACTATTTACGTAGTAAAAAATAACTATTTAAAAGTGAAAACGACTATTTTATTAGTAAAAAATACTGGTACTAATTCAAATAGTAGAATTTTGACTATTTCATTTTTAGAGAGTTAATAGGTTGTAGTTTATCTGTAAATGTACAATGTAGTTTATATGTAAATAATGTACTAAATCCTTACTTGAAGTATTTTTTATTATCTAACCAATTAAATCTACAACCTCCAGGTGTTGTTATTTGCACTTATAAATAAGCAAAATAAAACACTTAGGTACCGTAATATATATAAGTGTGACCCAGTGTCGGGAATCTTTATCGAGCAATTAATTTGCCGAGTTAACTTACTGACAAATACAAGTTTTTAAAGCTAAACGCAATGATGAATGGAGTGGTCGTTTTTCTTATGGTAGTGGTTGTTGCCAATGCTCAAACATCATTTCAAGGACGGTGTCCTGATGTCCAAACCAAGCGCAACTTTAATTTAAAAAAGGTATCTTTAGATATAATAATGCTCACAAATAATTTATATATTGCTGTGTGACCTCTGCGGATTTTTTTTAAATTTTGTGGAGTTATTCTTTACATCAAAATAAGACTCACTAAGGACCATATATTTTTTTAACAGCTAATTTTTTTCATATATAAAGTTTACATACCAAACACATAATAAAACTTACAATTGACCCGTTTGGCATAGGTACGGTTTCCAAACAAAAAATTGCTTCAAATTTTAAAATTCTAGAAAATCTCATTATTTAGGCAATTATATAAGTACCTATGTTGACTTTAATATAGAAATATGACATTAACATTATGTTTAGTCCTTACCTTGAAAATGAAATGCCTGTTTGACTTGTTTTGATATTTTCATCCATTTTGCTTATACATGGGCTTTAAAAAGGCTAACACATGGAAAATTAAAAAACGCATAATTTTATCCTTAAATCATATAAATATTAACTTCTAGATATAAATATAAAACTTACAGGAAATTTAGTCCTTATCACAAAGTTTAAAAGCTTGTATAGCTCATTTTGCTTTTATAATTTTTTTTGTGATTGTACAGATGCTTTAAATGCAGCAAAAAAATAATAAAAAATAGGCATAAGCCAAACATCATAGTAAGGACTAAATATCCTGTAAGTTTCATGTTTCTATCTTGAAGTCTACACATTCTTAGAATAGAAAATTAAACAATAATCGTTTTTTAAATTTCAATATGTTTGCTCCTTTTAAAGCCCATGTAAAAGCAAAATGGATGAAAATATCAAAACAATATATAAATAGGCATTTAAACTTCAAGGTAAGGACTAAATATCCTGTTAATTTCATATTTCTAAATTAAAGTCAACATACTTATAAAATGGATGAAATAAAGCGACTTTTTTCTCCTAACAAAACCAAAGTACCAGGCATTTGAACATCAAGGTAGGGATTAATTATTCTGTAAATTTCATAATTCTATTTGGAAGTCAACATCCTTATATAACGGCCTAAATAATGCGATTTTATAGATTTTTTTTCGAAACCGTATGCCAAACGGGCCAATTGTGAGTTTTATTTTATCTTTGGTATGTAAGCTTTATATATGAAAAAAATTAGCTGTTTATATTAAACAGCCGAGATATGGGACGCATTCAAAAAACACGAAAAATAGTAAAATACACCGTGTAATTATTTAGAAATATTGATTGAGGGAATTTTGTCCTTTGGGACCGTAATGATTATTTCTATAAAATTTGAGCAAAATTTAAGATGGTCGAGCAACGAGTTTTGGATTTTTCAAAAGGCCTTATTTCCATTTTTACTTGAATGTAATTTTTTGACAAAATCCCAAAGGTATGGTTAAAAGGCATATATTAACGGCGAAATATGATAGCAGGTCTAAAGTATTATTAAATATTCATCAGAATTTTTTTTTAAATAATCTATATTGCCCTAACCTATAGGTCTTTTGACAACCGAATTGTAGACCTTCCCCTCTTTCAAACGCACCCTAATATATACGTTTAAAATAACTGGTAATACCGGAGGTCAGGGCGCCACGTCAACCTATCGGAAGTCACTGCTTACCAAACACCAATATATATATATGAGTGATTTTTCAAAAGGTCGTATTTCCATTTGCAACAATTTTTCAAAAAAATGACTATAACCTGTATATATACAGGTTATAGTCATTTTTTTGAAAAATTGTTGCAAATGGAAATACGACCTTTTGAAAAATCACTCATATATATATATATATATATATATATATATATATATATATATATATTAGACTGGGCCAAAAAAATCAACTATTTTTTTTTTTTGAAAAGTATATTGAAAATATGGTTTGGGGTGACAAAAAAAAATTATTGTGAAAGTTTGAGTCCATAATATTATTATTAAGAGGTCTATCATCGCAATTTTAATTTTTTTTTCCTCAGCAAGTTTAAGGCTTAAGCCTAATTAGAACTCCCAAACCATTGAGTTTAACAAAATTGACTTAAAAATATTTTTTTAAGAAAATTAAATGCTCTACAAAAAAGGTTAAAGTGAAATTTTCCGTCAGATGAACCGTTTCCTTAAAATCATGCCTTAAAAATTGGTATAGTTTGACATTTTGATCTTTTAAATTGGAATTTTGTAATTCATGTATAAATTCAGTATTCATAAAAGCCAAAAAATATTCTTATAGGAAATCAAATGCTTTACAAAAAAGTCTCTTAACATTTTTGGCTAAATTCACTCAATAAAAAGTTATTCAAGGTTAAAATTTCGTTTTGGCTTCAAATTTAACCTTGAATAACTTTTGATGGGGTGAATTTAGCCAAAAATGATAAAAGACTTTTTTGTAGAGCATTTGATTTCCCATAGGAATATTTATCGTTTTTTTCAGGGTACTGATTTTTACTTGAATTACAAAATTTCAAAGTTAAAAGATTAAATTGTAAAACTATACCAATTTTTAAGGCAGGATTGTAAGAAAAGGGTTCAACTGACGGAAAATTCCAAATTAACCTTTTTTGTAGAGCATTCAATTTTCTTCAAAAAATATTCTTAAGCCAATTTTGTTAAACTCAATGATTTGGGAGTTCTGAGACAAAAACTCGCTCAGGAAAAAAAAATTGAAATTGCGATGATAGACCTCTTAATATTAATATTATGGACTCAAACTTTCACCATAATTTTTTTTTGTCACCCCAAACAATATTTTCGATATACTTTCCAAAAAAAAAATAGTCGATTTTTTTTGCCCAGTCTAATATATATATATATACATTATATATATATAATCCTAAATAGGTAACTATTTCATTTAGGTTTCGGTTAAATGGTACATGATCAGGAAAAACGTTATTATACAGGGTGTGTTTTAAGTTGACGCGTTCCTTTTAACAGCGTGTAGAAATCAGATAAACAAATAAATATTTTAAGTAACTTTTTTATCAAAACTCAAAAATAAGAGAGTTATAGGCCTTCCAAGTTTAATTAAATTTTGAGCCGGTCCTGGCTATTGTTAACAAAAAACATAACCATAAAAATAAAAATAACAAAATAAACAATGCAAAATGTCATCTATGACAACAAACATAACCATTTAAATTAAAATGACATTTAGCAATGAAAAATGTCATTTTTTTTGTGCCTCAATTATTGTTAAAAATGGTTCATAATTATAGCAATAATGAATTAGTGGAAATGTTACTAATTTATGGAGGGTGTCGTCAAAATGCAAATGCTGCAACTTAAGTAAATAATGACATTTTTTATTGCAAAATGTCAATTTGATTTAAATGGTTATGTTTGTTGTCAAATATGACATTTTGCATTGTTTATTTTGATATTTTTATGGTTATGTTTTTCGTTAACAATAGCCAGGACCGGCTTAAAATTTAATTAAACTTTGATGGGCTATAACTTTTTTATTTTTGAGTTTTGATAAAAAAGTTACTTAAAATATTTATTTGTCTAGCTGATTTCTACACACTGTTAAAAGGAACGCGTCAACTTAAAACTCACCCTGTATATGTATGTCTCTAAGTATTTTTGTTTCTAATATTTTACCTGTTAGGTATTTAGTTAAAATGAATTTTTACGTCCTTTCTACAGGGTGTCCGGGAAAAGGAGGTCAATCCGTTAACAATATATTCCTTGAGTTAAAACAATAAGACTTTTATAATACCATTTTTCAATTTAGAGCTTCATGTTCGATATACAGGGCGACAAAGTTTGAAATTAAAAACTGATTTTTTTTAATAATTCGAGTAGTTGATAAGATACTAAGTTTAAATTCGGTACACTACTTTAACATAAATAGTTAAATTTTTTGAGACCAACAAAACAAAAAAAACAATTGTCAAATAATCAAAATAGGGGGGTTCAGTACTCACTGACTCCCCCTATTTTTTAGTACGTGCGCCAATGACTTCCAAACGGAATTTTTTCAGGTAATCATTTATTGTTGAAAATGTTTTTTCTCTTATAAAATTTTGATAAAATGATTTGTTTTAGAGATAATTTGTAAAGTATGGGTCAGTCCATATCAAATTTTCAAAATTTAATTTTTTTTTGAAAAAATGTAGGTCATGTGATATATCATAAAAAAGTTCTCTAATGGGCCTTTAAAATAAGCCATCACTCACCTTTCTACTTTTAATAGTTTACGAGATATCGCTATTTTTGTAAGTACTTGCAAGACCCAAATTTATCGGAATGTTTTGATTTTCAAAAATCAATAAAATAAAAACCACCTATCGAAAAAAATTCATATATGGGATTTATGAGTTTTTTAGTGAGGTAAACAAATTTACCAAAAATGATCAAAATCGGAGATGGTGGGGGAAGAACCTTTGGTTGATTTGATATGGACTGACCCAACTTTACAAATTATCTCTAAAACAAATCATTTTATCAAAATTTTATAAGAGACAAATTTTTTTTAACAATAAATGATTACCCGAAAAAATACCGTTTGGAAGTCATTGGCGCACATACTAAAAAATAGGGGGAGTCAGTGAGTACTGGACCCCCCTATTTTGATTATTTGACAATTGTTTTTTGTTTTGTTGGTCTCAAAAAATGTAACTATTTATGTTGAAGTAGTGTACCGAATTTAAACTTAGTATCTTATCAATTACTCGAATTATTTAAAAAAATCAATTTTAAATTTCAAACTTTGTCGCCCTGTATATCGAACATGAAGCTCTAAATTGAAAAATGGTATTATGAAAGTCTGTTTTAACTCAAGGAATATATGGTTAACGGATTGACCTCCTTTTCCCGGACACCCTGTATATCGACATGACATGTTTGAAGGATTCATAAATTTATAATATAACATATTGTGTCATTTTGTTTAAATATTAAATATTTTTTTTAGTTTTCAGGAAAATGGTTTGAGGCTGAACGTTATTTTGGCGGTATCGAAAAAGGAGGAAAATGTGTGACCGCGGAATATAATCTTAGAAGAAATGGGAGAGCGACTCTCCGTTATAAACTAATAGATTCAATGTATTTTCCAAAAAATAATTATACTTCTTAATAACTTAATTTTAATTTAATTATTTCAGCTATAGCCCAAGCATAGAAGCTTTTGGTAAGGTTTCAAAGAATGATCCGGCCAAACTGTCTTTCCATTTTCCATCTATAGGTAATATGTAATTATTTTTATCTCCACGCGGTCTATAATTTAAACTTTATTGTTGTCAACATTCGATAAAGAAATACCTTGTTATGGCCTAGGCCGATAAAAGTTTTTATGAGGCAAGTAATTAGTTCGATTTTTTCTCGCTGGGGGTATTGTTTTGACAAATTAATCCTTTTCTAAGAAATTAACGTACTAAACTGGTTTAATTTATTTATAATAAGCACTAATTTGTTTGTTTTACTGTTAATGTTTAATATTTTTCATTAAATTATTGTAAAATTAAATATGAATAATAAAACAAAAAGTGAGGTTAGGCAATCAAGAAAACGCACGATTCTTTTTCTACGATTTAAATTATCTTTAAGTTTTAATTTGCTTTAAGTTTTCAGTGAAATTAAATGTTAAACACAGCTTAAACATTCCAAACTATAGGTATACCTATTTTTTAAATAAAAATCCAAACAAATTGAAATTAGATACCTACCTATTTATTAAACAATTACTTGAATTCAATGTAATAGCAAAAATCCATTTCTACTTAAATCATGTTGCTAGGTATTGTCAAACTATTACTGCTTCTAAAAGCAATAATAATTATTGTACATTTAATGTAATCTTTAGCTAATAAATAAATGAGATTCTAAAAAAGTGATGTTAGCCTAACATTATTAGGCCGCTTTGATGTTGAATTAAATTGACCTAGGTATATAAAGTGCTTTGAAGATAAAATGTTGTATGCCATTCGGCCAAGAAGTGCCTTTTTGTGCTTCGCTCAATTGTAGGCCTCCGCTACGCGTCGGCCTTCAAACCTTGAGCTTAGCACAAAAAGCCTTACTTCTTAACCTATAGGTTAATGATATAAATAACTATTATTTTCAAGCGTTCTATAATTTAAACTTTATTATTGTCAACACTTACTACTAAAGTAATTAATTACACAGTATATGTCTTTTTGATGTTACTATGGTAACATCAAAAAGACACAAAAAATCGCCGGTACACGTAGGGGCGTAGAATCCAGTGGTGTAATCAGTTTTTTAAAGTTAGCTCGTTTTCTTAAGATATTTCGTAAAGTTTTTGTAACTTTTTGGTTTATTATTTGTGTTTATTTTGAGAAATACCAAAAAGACAAAAAAACCCGGGACATGTAAACCTAAATTTTGGGTGTAGAATTCAGTGGTGTAATCCGTTTTTTTTTTAAATTAGGTCGTTTTCTCAAGATATTTGAAATTTTGTGTTTAAATATTTTTTTAATTGTTATTTTGCTCTTAAAATATCTTTATTTATTTTATTTAACTATAATTAATATTTTTGGCCAATTCCAATTTTAAAATCTTTTAAAATTTATTTATTTCTAAAAAATATAAGAACGAATTGAATAAAACAATAAATGTCTATTTATTTTTATTCATAAATAATAAACATTATTTGTCAGTTTAAGGTAGAAAGCTATTAAAATTAAGTTAATTAAGGAATATTTAAACATCAAATGTCTTTATTTATATTTATTTATCAATAATAAACTTTTTTGTCAGTTCCTAGTGTAAAATATTAAAATTAAACTAGTTAAATAAAAAGTTTTAAAGAATGTAAAAAATGTTAAATGCCTCTTTGATTCAAAGCAATCAGGCTCAAACAATTGCAACGTTTGTTAAAAATATTCTTTTCCCTCAGTGTAATGTCATTATAAACTCATATAAATTTGGTGTGGGTCCCATATCTAATAATTGAGATATCGGTATATATACCCAAATATACGCCACTGATGTGTGGTATTATTTGATTTTAAGATATTTAATGTATAATATGCTCACAGTTGCAATAAATCTAAAATTTTCCAATAAATTATGTATTTAATTAGTACCCTGGTATACTCGTCACCAGGGCCATAGCAACGGACTCAGGGGCCCCGGTGCAAAACTTTTCAGGGGCCCTCGATTTTAAAACTTTATGTTTAAAAGTAGAACTTGCCTTCGCATTATTATTATAGGGTAATGAAATAACATGAAATATAATGGGTTTTTCATAAAGAGTTTACATTTACATTCCCGTTAGTAATTTACATTTCAGAATTATAATACTATATCTTATTACTCTACTACTAAACATATTTCACATATTTTGTGACAGTAGTACATTTATTCTTTTACAGCCAAATTTTTCCATTACCAGTGATTTTTATTATTACATACTGTTGAATATGGTTATTATATGATGTGGCTATCATGAGATGTCACTACTTTTTACGAAGACTAATGGAATCACATCTTTTAATGAAACTTAAAGTACACAAAACAGCAAATATGAGCAGGGGCTCTCACATATTTGATGTTTTGTTTTTTAAAACGATTTCTTTCTCAATTTCATCGCTGCAAAATCATTGATAGTTTTCGTGAAATCAATTTTTCGGGCTCTCTCATTCTCGATCGATAGAACTGCTAATCCGTTCAATCTTTCTTGCCCCATTGAACTTCGCAAATAACTCTTGATCAGTTTCAATTTTGAAAATGATCTTTCAGCCGACGCAACGGTTACTGGGACGGTGAGGTACATTACACAAGCAGTGTAAACGTCGGAAAAAGTGGAAATTAAAGAACTGTGCTCAATTAAGAGAAAATCGACGAGCTGTTTTACAGTGTTCATTTGCTATAATTTAGAATTGAACGCAGATTTCAAAGATAGCAATTGCGCAGGGAAAGATGCAGATATGTAATCAGGAATTTTTTGGAGAAATTTATCGGTTGGTTTGTCAGGTGCGGTGTTCGCATCTTGATTGATACTGAACCATGAAGTCAGATTTTTTGTATTTTCGACACTTGCACTTTCTTTACGCTTTTTCTCAGCCCTTTTTTGATGACCGCTTGAATATGTACGTTTCATATTGTTTCAATCGATTTCAAACATCAAACGTCCACGAAGAAAACAAGAATCGTGAATATTGTTTTTATGTGAAGTTAGCAGCGCTTTCGAAACCCAGCAGTGTGAGTAATTCATACATGTGCGCATGCGCACATGTGTGGTTTTTGAAATAAAGGAGATTGAAAGTTTAAAACGGATATCCTGCAGGATATTGATTTTTATCGATAGGATAGGATAGGATATCGAAAATTACGATTTTTTAGTAAAACTTTTTAGTTTTGGGGGCCCCTTTGAGGTCGGGGGCCCTGGTGCTCCGCACCGCCTGCACCAGCCTCGCTACGGCCCTGCTCGTCACTTCCCTTGCATTCAAATTTAGAAAACACATATATTTCAGAAACTGTTTGAAAAAGTGACTGGCCCGGTCTGGAACAGTATATTTATTATATTAGTTATCTATGTTCTCATAACAAAATACTGTTTAATTTTCTCCGAAAACTATATAAACAAAATGAGGTCAAAAGTTGCCCAACTTTTGTAGAATCACCCATAAATATTTTATTTATTAAATTTAAATATTTTCCACTAATACCAGACCATAAAATTTACTAAATAAAATTAAATACAAAAAAAAGAAATATGCGAAAAATCTAATAAAATTAAAATATTGTGAATATTATCTGCTTAAACACAAAAGTTATTAATTTAAGAGACAAAAAAATTATGAATTAAAAATAAATACAGACATTTTAAAACGGGTCATGGTATCTTTTTCTTTAAAAATATAGCAAAATGGTGAAACAAAAAACTTAAATATTTATTAATATCTTGAGAAAACGAGCAAACTTTAAAAAACGGATTGCACCGCTGAATTTTACACCAAAAAATTAGGTTTACGTGAGCCGGAATATTTTATGTATCTTTTCAAAAATTTGAAATTTACCTACAGTGTTATTACCTGGGCTGTAGTAATACTTTAGACCAATCGGAAAGGTTTTATTTCAGCAAAAGGCATAACGTTTGTTTCAAACGTATGACATATTTAAATACGTCTGAATGTACCTAGGTTTAATGATAAAAAACCATCACTTTGGAGATTCCGGACAACTGCTATTGAACGAAACGCATGTAGATTTGTGTCAAATTTGCTGATTTTGAATTTCTTGGCAAGTAACTTTAGGAAAAATTGGTATCTGCTTGTTACCAATAAAGTTTATTTCCATTAAACGTACCTGCATTTCTAAAGAAATTGCGGTTTCTTTGGATGAAACGCCATATTGCTTAAGAATATTGTATAAATCGTCGGCCTTATCACGAAGTGGCCTAACCCACAAAATTGAAAACCAAAATGAGATTTTTCGCAGATTAACTTACGATGGTCTATTCTATTCTCACGAAATGGCCTATGTATTTTTACAGTACAGACTTTGTACTATGGTCCACCTCGTGGAGTAATATAATAGACCATCGTAAGTTAACTCTCGCAAAATGTCACTGTTTTCAATTTTGTGGGTTAGGCCATTTCGTGATAAGGCCAACTATTTATAAAATATTCTTAAAGGTTATGCCATTTCCTCCAAATGTTTTCATGGAAGCAAAATTATTTTGTAAGAACCGTAAGTATACAGTGGAGGCAAATTGAAAACTTTATAAAACACTAAAGTGCACGAGAAGACGCGTTTCAAGAGGCGTTCCCCCACTCCAACAATTGCCCATTAACTTTGATATGTTTGCCACAAACTTATTATATTTGTTGCAAATGCTGAGCTTTTCGCAAAAATTGTAGCAGATTTATTATAAGTTTTATCTATTTCAGTTAACCCATTAATTAATTTTGGTGGAAAATATTGCACGTTTTATAAAAACCCACCTAACTTTAATTCAAACGTAAAAAACCTAATTTTATTGACTATCAGTACAAAGTTTGCATAGAACTTAATATTCCAAGCAAACACAGCAGCCTAAACAAATCATCCATTTCTAGCAAAGCAGCCACCCATTCTAAGCAAAATAATTAATATTTTTGGCCAATTCCAATTTTAAAATCTTTTAAAATTTATTTATTTCTAAAAAATATAAGAACGAATTGAATAAAACAATAAATGTCTATTTATTTTCATTTATAAATAATAAACATTATTTGTCAGTTTAAGGTAGAAAGCTATTAAAATTAAGTTAATTAAGGAATATTTAAACATCAAATGTCTTTATTTATATTTATTTATCAATAATAAACTTTTTTGTCAGTTCCTAGTATAAAATATTAAAATTAAACTAGTTAAATAATAGTATATTAAAGAACTAATGTCATAAGACGTCATTTTGTCGCACGCGGACAATTTATAAAACGAGCGACGAAGGAGCGAGTTTTATAATGGACAAGTGCGACAAAAGGTCTTATGACATGAGTTCTTTATGCTATTTTATCTATTTTGCAAACATTTCATAAAACAAATTAATTTTATACCTTATATTTAATTTGGTTAAATTTTACTTTACATAGTTGGTATCATAGATAACAAAGTTTGAAGTTTGAAAGGTCATTAACCTTTCAAACATTATCACATTCTTTCGCTATGGCGTCGTTAATTTACAATAAGTATTTACAATAAGCGGCTGTTAAAGAAGAAAAAAGGATTTTCTTTGGTGTTAAACAAAATTTATTACACGAAAAGTCTCGTAAGTACTAGAAAACAAATCATAAAAATATTATAACCTATAGGTATTCAAAATTGTATTTTACCAGTAGCCAACCTATAAAATCAAAATTTTGGGTGGAATAAAGTACCTCATTAAAGAACCAAAAGCGGTGTTATAATGAAGTCATTATGAAACCAAAATAGATAATAGTTATTTACGATATAAGTGGGATACGCACTCGTTGGGCAAATTTCGCATGCGTACGTTAATAAAGCGTTATCACACGTATATTGTACAAATTTTTATCTACGCCTCTAAATGGAAAAATAAACAGTAATTATTTTTGTCTAAGACTTAATTTAGGGTTATTTTGACATTTTGACTTTTTTATTTGATTGGTTAAAAGCAGAGAAAAACGCGTGCGTTAATGAACTTCTTATCTCACTCAAAATGAGTGGAATAAGAAGTTCTTATCTCACTGGCGTAGATAAAAAGTTTTAAAGAATGTAAAAAATATTAAATTGTATGCCTCTTTGATTCAAAGCAATCAGGCTCAAACAATTGCAACGTTTGTTAAAAATATTCTTTTCCCTCAGTGTAATGTCATTATAAACTCATATAAATTTGGTGTGGGTCCCATATCTAATAATTGAGATATCGGTATACCTACCCAAAATCCACCGTTCGCCACTGATGTGTGGTATTATTTGATTTTAAGATATTTAATGTATAATATGCTCACAGTTGCAATAAATCTTATATGTATACTCGTCACTTCCCTTGCATTCAAATTTAGAAAACACATATATTTCAGAAACTGTTTGAAAAAGTGACTGGCCCGGTCTGGAACAGTATATTTATTATATTATTTATCTATGTTCTCATAACAAAATACTGTTTAATTTTCTCCGAAAACTATATAAACAAAATGAGGTCAAAAGTTGCCCAACTTTTGTAGAATCACCCATAAATATTTTATTTATTAAATTTAAATATTTTCCATTAATACCAGACCATAAAATTTACTAAATAAAATTAAATACAAAAAAAAGAAATATGCGAAAAATCTAATAAAATTAAAATATTGTGAATATTATCTGCTTAAACACAAAAGTTATTAATTTAAGAGACAAAAAAATAATTTTTTTGTCTCTTAAATTAATAACTTTTGTGTTTAAGCAGATAATATTCACAATATTTTAATTTTATAATTATTATGAATTAAAAATAAATACAGACATTTTAAAACGGGTTATGGTATCTTTTTCTTTAAAAATATAGCAAAATGGTGAAACAAAAAACTTAAATATTTATTAATATCTTGAGAAAACGAGCAAACTTTAAAAAACGGATTGCACCGCTGAATTTTACACCAAAAAATTAGGTTTACGTGAGCCGGAATATTTTATGTATCTTTTCAAAAATTTGAAATTTACCTACAGTGTTAATACCTGGGCTGTAGTAATACTTTAGACCAATCGGAAAGGTTTTATTTCAGCAAAAGGCATAACGTTTGTTTCAAACGTATGACATAGTATTTAAATACGTCTGAATGTACCCAGGTTTAATGATAAAAACCATCACTTTGGAGATTCCGGAAAACTGCTATTGAACGAAACGCATGTAGATTTGTGTCAAATTTGCTGATTTTGAATTTCTTGGCAAGTAACTTTAGGAAAAATTGGTATCTGCTTGTTACCAATAAAGTTTATTTCCATTAAACGTACCTGCATTTCTAAAGAAATTGCGGTTTCTTTGGATGAAACGCCATATTGCTTAAGAATATTGTATAAATCGTCGGCCTTATCACGAAGTGGCCTAACCCACAAAATTGAAAAACAAAATGAGATTTTTCGCAGATTAACTTACGATGGTCTATTCTATTCTCACGAAATGGCCTATGTATTTTTACAGTACAGACTTTGTACTATGGTCCACCTCGTGGAGTAATAGAATAGACCATCGTAAGTTAACTCTCGCAAAATGTCACTGTTTTCAATTTTGTGGGTTAGGCCATTTCGTGATAAGGCCAACTATTTATAAAATATATTCTTAAAGGTTATGCCATTTCCTCCAAATTTTTTCATGGAAGCAAAATTATTTTGTAAGAACCGTAAGTATACAGTGGAGGCAAATTGAAAACTTTATAAAACACTAAAGTGCACGAGAAGACGCGTTTCAAGAGGCGTTCCCCCACTCCAACAATTGCCCATTAACTTTGATATGTTTGCCACAAACTTATTATATTTGTTGCAAATGCTGAGCTTTTCGCAAAAATTGTAGCATATTTATTATAAGTTTTATCTATTTCAGTTAACCTATTAATTTATTTTAGTGGAAAATATTGCACGTTTTATAAAAATCCACTTAAATTTAATTCAAACGTAAAAAACCTAATATTATTGACTATCAGTACAAAGTTTGCATAGAACTTAATAATATTCCAAGCAAACACAGCAGCCTAAACAAATCATCCATTTCTAGCAAAGCAGTTCACCCATTCTAAGCAAAAGCACTAATTTTGAATTAAATTTCAGTTGTTTGATTCAAAGCAATCAGGCTCAAACAATTGCAACGTTTGTTAAAAATATTCTTTTCCCTCAGTGTACACCCAAAAATTGGGTTTACGTGACGTATTTTATGTATCTTTTCAAAAGTTTGAAATTTACCTACAGTGTTATTACCTGGGCTGTATACAGTATAGTAATACTTAGTAATAGTAATTTTGTATGCCATTCTGCCGAGAAGTGTCTTTTTGTGCTTTGATTAATTGTAGTATACTCGTCGGCATTTAAACTTTGAACTCATAACATAAAAACTCACCTCTCAGCATTACGACATAAATAACCATTGTTTATAAAATATTAATTTATTAATTTTAGATGTTGATTCCCCCTACTGGATATTGGCTACGGATTATAAAAATTATGCTGTTGTATGGTCTTGCGCTGAGTTTGAATCATACGATTATAGCATAAGTAAAAACTATAATAACTTTGTTATTATTTAATATAATATGCTTTTTATTATTTTAGGAGGTGCCTGGATTTTAACAAGATCCAAAAATCCGACTTCACGAATTATACAAAAAGCTTACTCCGCACTGGACAAAAATGGTATTAGCAAAATATATTTTGTACAAACTAATCAAACAAATTGTCCCTTAAATTAATTTAGTGAGTTTTTTTAAATTTATTCCTTGGGTAAACACTAGGGTGGGCCGAAAATCCGCTTTTTTAGAATTTCGTTTAGTAATAGCAAAAATTTTGTTCATTATGTTGTAAAAAAAAAAAATGTGTAAAGATTAAAATTTTCGATCAACATCCTAGGCTCGCCCAACGCAATTAAAGATCAAAATGTTCAAAAAAAAATTTTTCTTAACTTATTTTGATCGGAAATTTTATGCTCTACACAAAATTACTTCAGATGGATAGTTTCAGAAATTTGTTGTAAAAAAAAATTGTGTAAAAGATTAAAATTTTCGATCATCATCCTAGGCTCGCCCAACGCGTTGCAACGCAACTAAAGATCAAAATGTTAAAAAAAAAATTTTCCTAACTTATTTCGATCGGAAATTTTATGCTCTACAAAAAAGGTCCTTACTTCATTACTTCAGATGGATAGTTTCAGAAATAAACCCGATTTTAGTATCAACATTTTTTGAACATTTTGATCTTTAATTGCGTTGGGCGAGCCTAGGATGTTGATCGAAAAATTTAATCTTTTACACAAAATTTGTTTACAACATAATAAACAAAATTTTTGCTATTACTAAACGAAATTCTAAAAAAGCGGATTTTCGGCCCACCCTAGTAAACACTGTTTTAGCATAATTTATTAACAATGTAATACCTAGTGAATAAGTAAAAATGACTACATTTTAAAAATATTTCACGTCAAGTCTAAATATAATATATTATAATATAATAATAAACTCTTGATTTTTAACTAAATTTAATATTGTAGAGAATAAAATAATTTAAAAGATTAAATTTGTTTTTTTAATCCAAAAAGACTTTTTATAGGTAACTAAAAATAATTAAAAATGTTTCTTTATTGCACTGCAATGGGGGCATCTACATACATACGTAATGAAGGTAAAAAAAGTATTGTTTACTTATTTGCTTTTGGTAGCCGGTATTTAAAAAATCAAAATTTCTCTAAATGTAGACTTTACTAAAAGTCAAAAATTACCAACTAAAACTTATTATTTTTTATATTACGTATCTAGCTAGTATTCATCTCTTTAAAATCTTGTTTTTTTGTTTTAATGGAACACCCTATATATTTTTACATAATTGGATAGAATAAGTAATTTCCTTTCTTTTTATATATATAGTCATTCCAAATAAAAACACCAAATGGGGTGCGCTGCCTGATTTTTTATTTTGATAAAAAAAATTGAGGATGATCTTTTAGGTATCAAATATGAAAATCCGTTGCCGTTTTAATTTTTGGATTCTTTACTTTTAATCGGCACCCTTTAGAAATCTGAAATCGTGTCAATTTCTTACTCTCTTATAGTGGGCCAGAACTTTTTTTCTGTGACAAATATTGAAATGATTTTAATTTTTTTACTGATCAGTAAGTGTGTTTTTGATATAAATTATTATTATTCAATTAGTTAATCTCATAAAAGAATGGTAATGATAATTTGCAAATTTTTGTTATTTTTGTATGGCTTATACAATAGAAAACGTAACTATTATTTTAAGTTTCTAGACTATCATTTTCTTTATTAAAAAAATTATTGAAACTTGATAATTCTTAAAATTAGTCAAATCAATTTGTTGAGGAAAAAATAAAAATCTGAAACTTTCAGGAAATGTAGTCCCCACCTTTATCTTCTTAGTCCAGTTGGACTTGTTTTGTTATTTTTATTCCTTTAAAAGATATATTTTTTTATGCTCGTTTAGTAGCGATATTGTTAGTTTTATTTATAATTTAAAATTTAGATGGCTTTCATGTTTGGTTATATACTTTATAATGAAGTATTTAATTGGCTAATTGGTGTTTAAAGAAAAAGAATGTAAAAAATATATTTATCGTAAAGTATAATAAGTGAAATTAATAAAGAGTTAATTTAAACGTATAAAAAATGCGTTAAGCAGTTTTTTGTCGGTTTCTTTCACAATTTAAACACAGTTAGTCTTGTTCTATTATTTTGATCCCTTTAGTAAGGCACTGAATAGTTAAAAGTTACATGTATGTATTTTAAATGTTAGTGTTGGAAAAAAATTTACACAATCTGTAAATACTTCTTTAAATTTTAGTTTTTGGGTATAACTGGTGTGTTGACCCGCCCTCCGTCAAACGAGAAAAACGCAACCAAGAATACATCTACACGTAAAGCATCCTACCTATTCGAAATTAGACATTTAAATTAATGTTAAGTTTTTAAAATAATGCAGCGTTGCCCTTTCTTAAAAATACTTGAATTATATAACGTTTAATTACTTGGGTTGTACGGTTTGGTATTTTATGAATATTTCAAATGGGGTCCTGTTTAACCGAGCGCGCTAAAGCCGGCCCTGTCGCAATAGGTTGGGTGGGGATCAAAAACTGGCCGAGCGGCAGATGGGAAGCAACAGGTGAAGGAAAGGGTTCGTCCGAGTGAATCGGGGGTTTCGTGTTGTGAAATAAACCTTGTAGGTAAGCTAAAATGATCCTTTACCTTGTTTAAATTAACTAACTAAGGTGGTTGTATCTTTTAACCAAGTTTAATAATGTAGATTTGTTGTGTTTTGGGGATATTTAGCCGAGAGTACGTTACGCGGCTTTTTGCTCCGTAAAATGGCGGACGGGCGTGAAAAATGCTTGTCTAATGTATTGTGCCTGCTCGCGATAGGGAAGAGGGTTATAGGAGGTATTATTATTATTAAATAAGGTAACCTAATCTAATCTAATCTCTTCACAAGACTAGAGCTCGCCAATAGAGTTCCTAACCGACAAAGGGGTCATACTGTAATATGTAATATGGAAACTATGCATTTATTATGTACACTGTAGCGGAATATGTTTAGATAGCTATAAAAGGTTTCAATACACTAGACAAAACGGTTTGCATCCAATAATATTCATTTTTATAACCTGTTGTATTGTTGGGAGGGGTAAATTGCACTTGTAACATTTTATAAATCTGCTTTATTAACGCTTGGTATGACAAAGTCCAAATAACAAACGCTAACTAAAAACCAATATTCAATAAACACTGCAATACATAAAACGCTAACTACCGTCAACCAAACCTTTGTAAAAACTCCATTGTAAACAAACAATGAATAGAGAAAACATACAACCATACTTATTGTGTTTTATTACCTAATCTGGTCTCCTCTCATTGGCTACTCCACCTATCTAGAAGCGAACTAAAATAACACAACGTAGGGTCTCCTTTTCTATTTTCTAGACGATCACTTCTTTTGGCCAAACTTGACAACACTGCTTGCGCTGTCAATATTTAAATTTAGTTCGCGCGATTCTTCGAATCGCCTTGGGTTACTGCCGTTTGCATGAGTATGGGGTACCCCCACCCCGTGCCCATCACACTGGTTAGTTTTTGGGTATAACTGGTTAAAATAAAACATGTTATAATAAAGGGGTTTATTTAGAATATTTTTTGGTTTTTGCTATTTTTAACAATTACAACTATTCAGAACTTAAATATTTTCTATGAGAAAGAGGTACAAAATTATGATATGTTCTTGCATTTTTAATTGCAATTAAATTCATGAAACTCAAAATCCGTCATTTATTACATTTGCAAACATGCAAACTTTTTGAAATAACAATTTAAATACGCGCAAGTAATATTTATGAAATATTTTTGACAGTTCTGGCATTTCTCTACCAAACATGAATAATTCAATATAATTCAATTATTGACCAAAGCTATCTAAATTTTAAATTATAAAACTAACAATATCGCTTCTTAACTGCATTAAAAAAATTATTATATCTTTTACATGGATAAAAATAACGAAACAAGACTAACTAGAGTAAAAAGATGAAGGTGGGGACTACATTTTCCTGAAAGTTTCATAATTTTATTTTTTCCTCAAACATAATGATTTCTGAGGGCAAAATTGGCTAATTTTGAAAATTATCAAGTTTCCATAATTTTTTTAATAAAGAAAATGATAGTCTAGAAACTTAAAATAATAGCTACGTTTTCTATAGTTTAAGTACTTGCAAGTATCATGATACCTGAAAAAAGCAACTTTCTAGATTTAGCAGGATAGGCACAGGAGCCAGACAAAAATCACAAAAATTGGCAAATTATTAAAATTTTTTAGTGGTTTACCATTCTTTTATGAGATTAACTAATTAGATATTAATAATTAATATTGAAAACATACTTACTAGGCAGTAAAATAAAATTACAATCATTTCAATAATTGCCACAGAAAAAAAGGTTTCTAAAGGGTGCCGATTAAAAATAAAGGAACTAAAAACTAAAACGGCAACGGTTTTTTATATGATACCTTAAAGATCATCTTCAAAGTTTTTCATTAAAATAAAAAATCTGCAGATCATCTTCAAAGTTTTTCATTAAAATAAAAAATCTGCAGCGCACTTTTAAATTCATTTTTGGTGTTCTCTACAACATATTATGTCCTATACGTTAACCCAACAGAAAAAAAATATTCGCATTTTTCGCAATTACAAGCTTTTTAAATGTTCAACATGACCACCTTCCCTTAAAATGCAGGTGGTATACAGGGTGTTATGTAATTAATGTTATATATTAGAATACTGAATACCTTTTGACATAAGGTGTAATGGAAAAATATTTTAAAAGATATTTTCCCAAAGATAAAGAATATATATGCATTAGAAGTTTTTTATATTTTTTGTGATACGCCACTGGTTACACACTTGTGTTCTGTGAGTACATAGATACAAACCAACAAAGTAGCTGCGCGTTGCCAGTTGTAAAAAATTGTTACTAAAAAATTTTCTTGCTTAAAATAAATAAAAACTCAATAAATACAAAAGTTTTAAGCCCTTAAAGCTCTAATACCATTCTGTATTTATTTACTCATCCAGCTATTAACTTAAGCAATGATAAGAAAAATTACCTATTTAAAAACTCCATAAAATTAATTTTTTCATCGGTTTTTTTCTTTCTGTTTACTCAGATGAAATTAGGACAAGTTCACAGGTTAATCGTTAAACATTCAATTTGTGTAAATAAATCCAAACGCCCAAA